GCATCGTTGGCCCGGGCACGATCCAATTAGGCGAGGCGCCGATAACCAAGACGAACTGTGGTAGTCGATCGGCATGCTGTTCAGGTGCAGAAAGCAATATAAGGAGAAATCAGTGGACAGTCATTCGGTGATCCCACCGAAGGTAACTGATGAGCTGCAGATACCAGAGGTCAGAGAACACTAATTTCCTTCCGCTTTTAGAGCACTGTGTTAAGGGATCTTATTCATTAAGTAGCACAGATCGGATTGCGTTTAACCTATTGGCTGCTGACTCATAATCTCCGTATGTTTCTGAGGCATTATAAAGCCCCACGAACCTTACTGATGTAGGTGACATCGTTTTTCGCAATTTGAACATCATGGCTGACAAGGCTACTTGTGTAGATGAACCGGTCAGTCAATCCAAGTGGCCGTTCGGTAAAAGATAGGGCCCATCATCATCATTACACCTTAGTAAAAAGATGAGAAACACCTATAATTGTGCCCCAATAAAAAGAGGATGTGATGAATAATTGAAAGGTTAAGTTTGGACTATACGTTGTGTGATTGGATTGCGACGCGCAATCTCAATGTAACGGACTGTGGTTCACATTGAAGTGAATCTTAGTCACGACGATCACTGGGACCGTACTCAAAGCCGATGGAAATTGGGTGTTGCCCACCCGAAAACACTGCAGTGTTTTCGGGTGGGCAACACCCAATTTCCATAGGAGGTGATGAACTTCAACTGACACCACCCAACTTCCTTGTAAACAGTATGGAATATAACATAAAAACCAAAAACAAGTAATGTTAGGCTTAGTTTCATATGAATTAATGAAGTGAGATCGTGGTTGAGAAGGGGACCTAAGCAGCAGAGTGGGAGACGAAGAAACAATACAAACACCAGTGAGTCCGCGTAATGGCCATGTCAACAGGTGTTTTTAATAAACTGTTCACCGCCTTCCGGGTCCCAACCTCACAGCCGGGAGGCAACAACCGAAGCCAAGTTGGAAGTGAGGGTCTCCATTCCTCTTGACCACACCAAGACAGTGGATAGTCTTCCTTCCTCCATTTCTATCCAGACTCCAATTGCGGGAGTCGCTGTGTCGGCATGTGCAACACATGTCTCAGCCACCGAAGCCTGGTGCGTAGTATAACGGTACTGAGCAGTTCACTTGCTCTCCCAGCGCCATAAAAATAACGCCTAACACCCTAACTGCTTACGCAGTGTTCCCAGTAAATGTGAGCTAAACTGCACCGGTGGTCGAACACAATGAACTTCACACCGGTAGATCAAATGGGCCACCTTGCATAACCCTACACAGAAAGGTGGAAAGCACGGCTGCGTTGTAAATTCTACCTTTCAAGATGACAGTGATGTCGCGCCGGCGTCAGAAGTGGCAAATATTGGCATGAGAAACTCGATCCTTCCCTAAACGGTTCACATTCCCATTGCTGGACGAATTCTAGTTGATCCCCAATAATAGAGGACATTACATTTCAAAAGTGTAGAGTATGGCGTAAAGTGACTGGTAGCCAGCGCTTTGTTTAGTGCTGCTGGGCACGTTTAAGAGCTGTCGCGGATTAGGGCAATATCGTCGGTGCACTCCAAGTCGATAAGTCGACAATTTGGGAGCAAATCCACACTTTCCAAGTCGAGTCCGATAAAGGTAGTTTCTATAACTGCGTCAATTACGAGGTTGAAGAGGAAAGGTGACAGCTGGCAACATTGTGTCACATCGATAGATGTTTGTTATAAGCCCTCACTTTGACAAAATAGATGCATATATGCCATTACGATACTTATATTTATCAGGACCACTTTTCCTGAACAGACAGTCTAAAATGGCACATCGATTCATCGAATTGAAGACACCTATGATGTCTAGAAAGATTGCGGTGGACCGCTAATAAATATGACGGTGTTCCAACTACTGATATAATTTGAAGATGTTATCAATACAGCATCGACTTCGCCGAAACCCGGATAGCTCCTCACGAATCTGGCTTTCATGAAGGCAAATCAGTCTAAACGCAAAAAAGACGATTAACTGAGAGGCGGTGGAGCTCAGACTGATACCTCTAGGATTGCTGCATTTTAAACGTGAGCCTTCCGTGAGAATTTGGACTATAACGGAGTGGCACTAGTCTGTTGCGACGATATCTAAGCTCCTACAGATTCACTAGCAATTTGTGCAAATCATTTACAAAAGCTACTTCTCCGAATTTGAATAGGGCTGGAGAAAGTCTGTCAGATCCTGCGACCTTCTTCAAGTCTAACAGCACGTTCAACTACTGCGATCAAGGTGGACAGCCCAGGGAGTAGGCCGAGCGATGGCTGATAAAGAAAATGGTAATACTGGCTGATTAAGCTGCCTTTCAAAGTGTTCGGTCCAACAATCTGAGCTTGTTGGCAAGCTGTGTATTGACTGTCCACTCTCGTCGCATATAATTTCGCTAACACCAGGTATTATGCTTCCAATTTCGCATTTCAGTGGCCGTTTCCATTTCTGATGCAGGACGAGACCAGCGGATTACCCGGTCTCATTTCAATATAGCAAACAGATTTTCCCAGAGATCTTTGTGAGTCTCTTGGTGTTCGTTCCCAGCCGGAAGGCGTCAGTGAGTATGCAGAAGCGCTAAAGACTGCGTAGAGAACCAAAATCAAAACTGGCAATTTGATTAACCACATGAACCTATGATTGATGACCTTCGATCATGTTCAGCGAGCGCGGTTTGATATCCAATCAGAACACCTGGCTTCGCTAGTTGGCCGGTGTCTATGTGCTCACAGCATCGCCGCGGGCGTCCGCCGAGACGCGCCCGCAGATCGGCACATACGAGTGCGTGATCGGAGTTCACGCTTGTACTCCAAATCGAGCGGCAGTTCTGAAAACAGCCTCTCCAACGATAAGTGATGACGATGAGATTAATTTATGACCCTGACTTGTCCCAGGCTGATGGGCACCATGCAATCGTCCGACGAGCGCTGTGTCGAAATTTAGTGCTGGAGATAAATAGGTGGGCATCTTCACACAGGTGTAGCAACCGCCCACTGTTATCACTACAGGAGCCTACACCATGTTGACCGCCCAGGTATATCTCATCCGGGGAAATTTTCCAACTTGAGCGTCTAGGCTATCAGCTAGCACTACAGTATCAGTGTTTCTTATGTGGCAAAGGAGCTCGTTCAGTTGGTGATAGAGGTCATCTTTCACCAAATCAGCACTACAGTTTTTGCGGGAGTGGCCAACAATGACAAGCAGGCATTAGTTGTTTCTTTGCAAATTGGAGGCTTTAAATAAGTCAGCAAGTCGAATGACACACATCTAGCTACTAATTGGGAACTAGTCGACTACAGCAGCCTTAGCCCGGTAGCTCAGATCAGTGCTTACACCGGCTTGACCGGCATTCGAAGCTGCAATATCTGCGGATAGACGCAATGAAAAAGTGTCCTCAGTGTCATCGTAGAGTGAGAACAGAGCTCGAGTCTTGAAGACGGGATTCCGATAAGCAATAAATAGTGATCGATAAAGTCTCGATTTGTTGTATGGTTAGCAAGTTCAGATATGTCCATCTTTGCGAGGATCAAGGGCTCCAAATAGAAGCATGTGAACTGACGCTGTCCATTTAGTTGGATATGAACTTGTCGGCAGGTAGAAGTGACACTCCGCGACTGCATCTGATTTGAAAGTAGACGACAAAAGACTGTCGAAGCAGAATGGAGGGTTGAAAACAAGGGGATAAAAATGAAGTTGAAACGGGATGAAGAGGAATAAAAAGGGTAAGATGAGGAGTAAGAAGACGTGAAGGTTTGAAGAGTAACATCCTTACCCCTGTCCACCTCGCTCGATGCAGAAGTCAGGGAGCCGTTGACTGTCCTATGCGATTGTAAGAGCATCAAGAAACTGTCTGAAGAAGTCATTGTATCACGTGGGCAATATACTGCCAGGTTATCCAGGCACTGACAGAAGGACGATTAGGATGCTCGACTGAAACCTTTTATTTCAAAACTTGGCTGTAGAGTAGCGGGAGCCGGTCAATAGGCCAAACAGAGTTTGTTTTATGAGATAATTAGCAACCCTTAGTCTAACTCCTAACCTGGATGGCCAGGTAACTGAGTTTGTCTAACCTCTAATTACTGACCAATATGGCATGAGTGACGCTAAAGGTGCAAGAAGTATTGCCTAGCATAGCTTAATGGCACGTAGAGGCGCGCAAGCCATCGCACCATGTAAAAGTCCAGTCTAATCGCGTTGGGAAATCTAAGGCTGACAGCGCGTCGGTGCAGCTAGGTAACTGCAGTACATGCATAGAAGATATGAAGCAGGAATGGAGTTGTGCAGCTCTCTGCATCACTGTATACAGTAATTCATGCGGAGCAGATCAGTCCTGACCGAACAGGGTGATGTGTGTGTATAAGTAACATACAGTCAGGGTGTCCTTAGTGGTGAAGAAATCAATTGCTCAAAAACGCCAGCCCAATCAAACTGCATGATAACAGTCTATAAGGTTGACAAAAATTAACCAAAGCTTCAGAGATCGATCTTCCGCATAACTGAAAAATTGGCCAAATTCGTGTCTACTGACGATACGCGATACTATCGCATGAACAACAGGAAGGCGAAGAAGTGGTAAAAAGACAACAGTGGAAAAGATCAATGATTTCGATGGGATGAAAAGCTAGGGTAGGAAAATCTAACGGGTGCAACGAAGAGATCACGATCACGAGTGGAAGTGAAGATGGTGCATGTTTAGGCAGATTGGCCCCATCTGTTTGTAACAACAAAACAAACATGAGAAGCTAAAAATTCATGACGACAAACCATGCATTACGAAGTGACAAGCGTCTTCTAAGGTATGGACTAGTCAAATGTAGATTCTAAAAATCTGACACGGAGAACTCCAACGGTAAGACACCATGGTTAAATGGTTTTGATAATGACTTTCGGCTGTCATGAAAGGCAAGCACTGAAGTTGTAGTGGTCATGCAAATTATAGTGAGTAGAAGACCTTACCTTAAGGGCTGATCGCAATGCATCAAGCTCATCCACATGGGCAGTCGAAGACTGCAGCTCTTGTGATGGGAACAATTTATGTTGATGAATATGAGACTCTTCCCGTGCGGCGGCTAAATTCAGCAACGCCACTCTTAAATTCTCTTTGGTGACATTCAACTCAGTTACCAAAGACTGGTGAGCATGCATTTCAGCTTGTTGCATCGTTACATAGTCAAGTGCCGTTTGTGTTGTGGCGTTACAACACGAGGTGTCTAAAGCAGCACTGAGAGAAGCAGCATATGGATCTCGTTCCCACAATATAGTTTGCTGAAGGGTTCCTTGTTTCAAAACTGCTGTGCAGTCAACTTCAGATGAAGAGATATCATCGCTGAGGAATCCCGGTTGGACAGGCAGGTGGTGCTCGATGGAAGTTGAATTTAAACTCGAAGGGATCTCTGGTTCGGCTTGACTGATAAATCTCACAACCGCGGAATCCCGGTAAGCGTCTGTGTATGAATTGAAAGTAGCTGAATTAGATCCGTTAACCGATTGGGTTGAGGCATGTACAACAGCTGACTCTGCAATAAGGCGATTTTCAATGTAAGAAAAGGCCGAAGAAGGTAAGCACCAAGATTCTGAACCTTGGCCGGTCATAACCGGCGAGTCTAAATTAGACTGTTCTTTCGCATGTTCTTGGGGAATTCGACCAAAATAAGCTGAGAGATCACGTGGAGGAGACCGTGAAACTGATTGCTCTCCAGTTTTTGTTGAGTCCTCATACGATAAATTAGTCTCTACAGCATGTAGATGCTGGGGTTGCAGTGTCTCCTCCCTGAGGGTCAATAAAGGGGCGTTAGATAATCCGTCCCCATCAAAGGTCTCTCGGAGTTGATAAGGGAAGGTGTGTGAAACCCCGGAAGACGAGTATGCAGCCTCTGAATTCCCTCGCTGATTGAGTGGCGGAGACGATCTAGACTCAATGGGACCATGAACGATCAGTTTGTTACGACTGGGGTGTATACTGAACGAAGCGGAATTTGTTAAGGCGATCATCGGCGGATGGCGGATATCAGTAACCGCGCCCATGCATGTGGTTCCATGCTGAATCGACTCGCAATATATTGCAGTAGTTGGGGCATCGGTGAGTTCATGTAGCGTCAGTTTCATAGATGGGCTTTCTTGCGTCACAGGTGAAGCGGAATGGCTTTGGATTCGGGTTATTAAGGAGTGATTTTGTACTTCATCATGAGCATGAACAAGGTTAAAATTTCCATTTTTGTGAAGTTCATCCGATGCTGAATTCTGGACTATAAGTGGGGGTAAAATCTTTGAGGTCAACTCAACTCCATCCGGCGTGGAATCAAAATGATGATCTGAGGGTCGGCGCAACTTATTGACAACACAAGACAGATCTTCTTTGTCTCGTGCCAGTTTACTTATAGTGTCATAACAGTCACGTAGCTGAACGTGAGCTTGCCCCAATTTGTCCGTTAAATGAGCACGCTGTTCGCAAAGTTCTGATAACTGTACATTCTTCAACTCCAAATCGAGTCGAACCTTGTCAAAGCTGTCTTCAATTCCCGAAAGATTATCTTTTAAGCTGCATAAATAGAAGTTCAAAGTTTCTTTTTCCTTCAACGCAGACTCCAAGGCAGCAGTCAGAAAAGTTTTATCTTCCATTAGGGAAGAAACTTGAGAATTTTTGTTCTCACAATCAGCTTCCAATGTTTGTATGCGAGCGAGAGCTTCGCTGAACCGAGAACCCTGCTCGTTAAGCTTTTCTTCCTGGGCACAGTGTTGACCTTCAATAACGCACAACATTTCCTGTAGACTTGCACGCTTTTGCTCGGCGGTAAGCAAAGCGAGTTCCATCTGTTCGAGTTTAGAACGTTGGTGAGTCACCTGATTGTCGGTCGCTAGAAGCTCTGCCTTCAAATTGTTCACTTCCGCCTGCAAGTTGCTGACTTCGTTTGACCTTTCAACATTCAGGCGTTCTAAATCCGCTCTTTCTACAGCCATGCGCTCAAGTATTGCCTCACGTTCAATCATATCGATACGAATGGATTCTAATTGATGCGAGAGACTGCGCTTGACGTCAGTTAGGGAGGCCTTATTGCAAATAAGTTGCGCCTGAAGGCATGCGTTCTCATGAGTAAGACGGTGATTGACCTCGTTTCCGTTTTTAAGCAGCCCCCTCAGTCGATCTGCTTCAGCTTCAACACGGTCACGAATGGTTTGAGTCAAACGCAGCTGGTCCTCAAACCAATCTCGTGACCGCTTCAAACTGGCCACCTCTTCTTGTAGATCAGCTTGATGATCAAGAGCACGAGCGTAAGCACAACGCAACGACTCAACCTCGGCAAATAGCTCAGCGACTTTCGCCTTCAAGCCAAGTACGACGTGTGCCTTGACGGAGCCACTTTGAGACAACTCCAGCAACTTAGTCTTGAATAACTTTTCGTTCGCTTTCACTTTAGTCAGCTGTTCAATGACTTTCTCCGCTTCTGTCAAACGATCTTTAAGCTGTTCTTGTAGAGTTTTCAGCTGCAGATTATAATCGACAAATCCGGTATCCATATGTGGCCCGGTTTCTTTGGCCTGCACTGAGTGTAGGTTTGTGGACGAAGTACTGAAAGCGCACAATTTCGGTGACCGTTTAGGTTTTGTGTTTCTCTTAAGGGGACGAACAGAGAAGTTAGATCCTAGAGCTGCAGAACCGTTGACTCGTTCTGAAGTCTTTAAATGCTCCGAAAGGAATGGATACACCTTATCAGAAGTCTGACGAGTGTGAGACAATGTGGACATCATACCCGAATGTTGTGCAAGACAAGCTGCCGATAACAACAAGCGATCGTCAGGAAAGCGCGAGGATCCCTTGCTAGCACGAACAAGGTTTGGCCGCTTAGATACATCTCTTTCTGGGGTTAAAAACAATCGTGATTGTGATCGTGTTAATCTCAGCAAACGACCCCGATCTGCAGAACGTTGGATGGGGCAATCTACTGAGGACGCTCGTTTTCTGTACTGTTGATGAGAACTTGGAGGCCTACGGTGAATTTGTTTAGAAACTTTATCCTCGGACGAACTTCGCATTTGTAAAATGACCATATTGGCTCTCTTTCTTTTCGTGCGAATGCCGGAAGAATGAGTATCTTGAATGGCAGCTTCGGAAACAACCGCATTAGTTTTAATTTCCAGAACATTAATTTTTTCAGGTGGCTCGGAGGCTAAAATAAACAATGGCTATTTGAAAACACTATACGCACTTGAATGGAAATCCTCATTGAAATTTACAACAGTATCGAATGGTTTGATAAAGCGGTTTTCCACTGCTTCCATGCCCCAAACCTCAGTGGCGGCCAGCTAGGAATGGGAAAGAAGGCAGTAGAAATGAACTCGCTTAACAGTCCAACGTTAAACTGTCTCATACTCGTTAAGCAGGTTAGAAAATGAAGGAAAATGCCGTTTAAAAAGATGGATGATCGTAGACTTGAAAAACAAATTATGAAACATAAGAATAGAGAGGTCAAGTTAGAAAAGTGATTGCACGTCAGAAAATATATGCAGCTACCACTGACACAGAAAACGTTGATCAAACGATTATGTGTGGAAAAGCTAATGAACATTTTGGGAACTACAACCACTGCCACAGCTGATTCGAGCTACGCTGGTGATAACGACTTGTTAGGTGACGGTTCAACTTGCATTTAACGGCTTGGCGACTGAAGCGTCAAAGTATGGCATGAAAATTATCCGTGCAAGTGCAAAGCTCTTTCTGAAGACCGAAAGATGCCTGTACTTGCTCTCACCACTTGGTGGTGAGACAGTGCAGATTGTAGAGTTTTGTATACCTAGGAAGCTGCATCACTACCGGTTGAGCTGTCAGAGATGAAATTTTGACGCACATATCAAGAGTTCGCCGCGCTTTCTCTAGGTTGACGCACCAGTAGGATCGACATGACATCTGTCTCCCCATCAAAGGGTGGGTTTATTGTATAACTGTCCGTGCAGTACCGCTGTACGGTTGCGTGACATGGACCGTTGACCTGTACCGACTGTCCGTCTTCGAGCACCGCTGCTTGCGGTTCATTTCCCATGTGTGGTAGATGTACCAAGTAACAAATGTGGAAGTTAAACAGCGTGCCTTGGGATGAGGCAGCTACTCACTCAAGGAACAAGTCCCACTGTGCCAACTGCGGAGGCTTTAGACACGCATCGCACATGCCCGTTCAGCGTCCTCCGCGTCGTGCGTTGTCCACAGTTGCTGCACAGCGTTGGAAGAAGCGGCGTCGTGAGCAACTCACAACTTGGAGAAGCCGTAAGAAAAAGCTGACAAAAAAGATGGCCTCGGTCGGCTGATCTCGGCTACGTGGTCAAGGTTCCAGAGAGGCGGAGTGGCATTATTTGGAGATCCTGAAAGTCATAGCTCAAGATCGACGTCATTGGCAGACGTGCATCTCAGGGCGCGGTTGTAATTTTCCTACCGTGTCCTAATAAAAGAAAATAAAACAATAAAAAATAACAATTATGAGTAGGAAACAACTGTCCGTTTTCTGCCTGTTGCAATCTTGCTCTCATATTCCGCCATTGTTCTGATGGCACAATATGGCCCTATATATATATATATATATATATATATATATATATATATATATATATATATATCGTAAGTTTGTAAGTTTAATTGAATGCCTGCAGAGTGGTATGCGAGCGAGGGTGCAGATGAGTGGAGAGACCTCGGATGACTGCAGTTATCTCTGGTGTGAAGCAAGGCTGTGTCTTAGCTCCTGCCCTGTTTAATATATATCTTCATGCAATGTTGTCTTGTGCTTTTGATGCTGCTTGTGCTTACGGTGCTCGTGTGGAGCACCGTATCGATGGTGGGTTGCTGAACATCCGTCGTTTCGGTGCGAGAACCCTAATCTGTGAGACAACTATCCATATGTTGCTGTTTGATGACGACTGTGTGTTGTTTGCACAAAGCGCGGATGAGTTGCAGCACATGACTAGTGCTCTGGCTTCGACAGCGGCAAAATTCGGGCCCACCATCAACACAAGCAAAACTGTCTGTCTCTTTCAGCCTTCACCAGAGGTGCAATCTTCAATATTGCCGCGAATCAGCATTGGTGCTGAAATACTGGAAACCACCTAACGCTTCTGCTACCTTGGGAGTGTGATGTCCACTGATCAGCAGCTTCACGGTGAGCTTTGTATCCGCGTGTTGAAGGCAGCGGTGGCATTCGGAAGCTAGAGTACCGAGTGTGGAACAATCATCAGCTTGCCATTGGCACGAAGCTGATGCTGTACAAATCCATGCTGCTGGCCGTTCTTCTATACGGCAGTGTAACGTAAACGATATACCGTCAGCATGTGCGTTATCTCGAGCGGTTCCATCAGCAGTGTTTGCGACGGATTTTGCGCATCAGTTGGGGCGACAGAGTTGCTGACACGGAAGTGTTGCGACAAAGTGGGATGGATGCAGTGGACTGTATACTTTTGCTGAGACACCAGAGGTGGCTCAGTCATGCCTGGCGTATGGATTCGGCGCGGATACCGAAACAACTCTTATATGATCAGCTGAGTATTGGGAAGCGGCATGTGGGGAAACCAAAGTTACGTTACCAGGACATGATTAAAGTGAGCCTCTCACGTTCGAATCTTGATTGCAGGTCATGGGAGTCGAAAGCGGCATGGCGCCATCTAAGCATGAAGGCAGTTGCCGAAGTGCGGGAGAAAGACCTCATACATGCAGAGAAGAAGCGGCAAGTGTGGAAGCAGCAAGCACCGATGGGTTGTTCTCCATCGCCATCGAGCGCATGGTGCTGGAGCACATGCGGTCGCGAGTGCCTGAGTCAGGCACGCCTAGTGAGCCTAGTGAAACAACCTCCTCGTGGTGCCACCTGGGTGGTTCGGGATTATCCCGTTCCAGCGAATGGTTTGGCGGCAGTGTTCCAGGACGTGTGGGTTTTCGCCTGGCAAGCGTTCTCCCTATAGAAAGTCACATATCTCCGTTTAACAACACTGCGACGTGGCGGAGGTGACTCGCCACTAAATAAAGTCACTGCCCCTTGCCCCTCCCTGAGAGGCATTGTACTTCAAGGGTGCTTTGGGCCCCTGGTCCTTCACGGACCGAAAGGCGTATGTACCATCTATTTGGTCACCGGCTCCCAACGGGTTGCGACACCCTCACATCGCCCTGCTGCCTTGTAGGTTAGATCTTTGATCAAAGGCTCGGGGTAGGGCCCACTAAGACAACCCTCTACTTCGGCCTGGGCAACCGGGTAGTATCACGCCCAGTGACGAATCATGGACTACACCGCTTACTACTGCTACTGCTATGCCTATCTTCTGTGCTAACTCAACCGCTCAACCTCCACTCACAGATCATTCCACCTCCCGTCCTTCACCCACATGTACTCTGATATCTTCTACGGTCACCGTCACAAACGACCCACGTCTCGCAGCTGATGGAAGTAACAGCCAAACTCCCGGTTTTCAATGTCCTCCGATCGCAACCGCCTCTCACTCCACCGAAGCTCCAGCTCTTCTTCGACCTGGTTCTCCATTCATCCTCGCAACGTTTAATGTTCGAACTTTGATGCAGATCGGACGACATGCACTTGTATGTGCTGACATGCGGATGCGCTTTGGCGGACGCCCACGGGGACGCTGTGAGCGCATTGACACCAGCCAACTGACAAAGCCCGTCGCAACGAGACTGGACCTTAACGTGGTGCGACGGTTTGCGTACCTCATTGACCCATTGAGCTATACTGGGTGATGCCTCCGAGCATCTTGAGAGCTACTCCTACCAGGTTGGTCAATGGTGAGAGGTCAGACAAACTCAGTCTTCTGGTCCTCCAGGTTGGGGGTTTGAAATGGGATGGCGTCCATTTCTGTAAAACTAAATCACTGCCACCCCGCTGCCTTGCGGACAGGCTTTTAAGCCAAAGGCTTTGGATGAGGACCCTAATCGTTCTCCTGTCTAGGTCTGGGCGCCCTGGCAGTATCCCAGCCCACATACAACCATGACATTTTCTTCAAACATAAACTTCATCCTGCATCGGCCGTCGCGCAGATTATCAAGGGTCGCCTTATCTGCTGCATACAGCAGGGCGGATAAGCGAAAGCATGCTACTGCTGGCGCCTCCCTTCTTTCTTTTCCACCTTTTTCTCTTACTCCCATCCCGGCCCCCATTACTAACCTTCCTTCTATAATTCCCAGCTTAATTGACAGCAACCGAAGTGCTACTGGAGTAGAACCATCTGCAGCCACCATCCCACAGACCTATCGGACGCCTATCGGCAAAAGTCCCTTATAAGACCACGCTGTCCCGTTTCCATGGCGACCTTCAACGTCCGCACTCTAAGACAAACAGGTCAGCAGGCTGCACTCGCACGCACCTTGGACACACTGGGTGTTGATGTGTGTTGTGTGTCCGAAACTAGGAGTAATGACCCTAACGGGGTTATTGAATTGACTGCACCCGGCTTATCCTCTCGTTATTGGTTGCACGCATCCGGAGACGCCGATGCGGCACTCACCGGTCAAGCTGGTGTAGGTATCATTCTCAGCTCCCAGGCTGAGTTATCGTTGGTTGATTGGATTCCGGTGAACAGTCGTTTATGTGCAGCCCGTTTGACGACATCAGCTAAGGTGAATTCGCGAAGTAAAAGAAAACGCTGTTTGTTTGTGATTTCTGCTTATGCTCCCACTGACTGCAGTTCTAATGCAGTCAAGGACACTTTCTATCACGAACTGAACACGCTGCTACGCAGTGCTACTAGTTCAGATATTATAGTACTTGCAGGGGATATGAACGCACAAGTAGGGCGTCTGAGCTCTTCAGAAGCTCAGCTGGGTGGTAAGTATGGACTTAACTCCGAACGGACTGACAACGGCGAGCGTCTGCTGCAACTGTGTGCGGAGCACCAGTTGTTTCTTACTAGCACTGCTTTTAGACACAGTGGGCGCCGAAGTGCCACTTGGCGTCCACCTGTAGCTGGTCAGCGATGGACCCAAATTGACCACATAGCCATAAGTTACAGGTGGCGCGGTTCCATTCTGGATTGCCGCTCGTACTGGAGTACCTGTGTCGACTCTGACCATGCCTTGGTGCGCTGTCGTTTCTCCATGAACTTTACCGGAAGGCGCACAAAGCGTCTCCCCCGATTGGCAACGGAGAAATTGTCCCAGCCCTCTGTCAGGCAAGCCTATCAAGAAGCACTGCATAGCGAACTCTCGCTGTCTTGTCCTAATGATACTGAACTTCAGTGGAATAAGATCTCGGCCACTATGCACGACGCAGGAGCATCTGCTTGTGGCACTATCAGTCGTCATCGCACCAGTCACTGGATATCCGA